TAAAGTTCTCGCCAAATTGTTCTTGACATGTTCTTGTGCAATTGCAAGATCAAAAGTACCATGCGCCCACATGTGTAGAATTTTGTGCCGTTTCCAAAATGTACTAATGGGCAAAAATCCGACAACCGAGCTGAAAGTTATGTCTATTTTCATCCATACTGCTCTTTTGCTGCTTGAATCGAGTTGATCCATTTGGTTTCTTCCCAACATGAAACTTGGTCATTGACTTGTTAACTTTGAAACTTCATCGACCATAGATTGAGCAAGCAATCCCATTGCCTATTTCACCCGCTTTGCCCTCGAACGTGTTATCGGGCCTCCTTCGATAATCAACGGATCCCGTCCGGGGCTTGTATTCGTCGGGCTCGACTCTTGGATCATATCATTGCCGTCACTCGAGCAACATAGCTGGAGCTCAACAAGCAGCCAGCGCTCGAGCAGTAAACCAATGAAAAGTGAGCGACAATGCCAGTGCTCCGACGTTGCATTTATGGTGCTTGGACGCTGTGTCTAGGGCAAAACTTCTACAATTCTCTGATTGGAGCCTAGGCGCCCCGAAATCGGTGCTTGGGCGCCCATTCCTTGTCCATGTCCCAAAAAACCTTAGATCTTTTTTGACTCATTATAGCCTTCTAGTTCTTCAAGACTTTTCTAAAATAATCAACCAACTCCAAATATATCTCTAATAGTATTTTTAACAAATACTAAATAAGAATTCGGGGTCACAACCCGATTCTAACAAAAACTGTTGAAAGCTTAATATAAATAGCTTAATATAAATGTGACTAAATCTTTAACAACGAAAACGACAAACTCAACCACCAAATTTAAGGAAAGTAAGATATGGGATTAAAAGGTAATGTTTGCCCAAAATAGGAAGGATTTGGCAATCCAAATTATGATTGTCATGTTTGGTTCTTTTCAAGCAGTTATTAAGCTTTTGCATAATAAACCATACCTAGTACCTATAATGTTACTGCTTTTTATGTTTCTTGACCATCTCTTTTCTTTTAGTCAATCTTTTTCTACTTTATTAATTATATAAATATAAATTATGTATATTAATAACATTGATTAACCTCTTTTTGGATACTTTACAAGGGGCAGAATCTTTTTCCTTTGGACCCAAATCTCAAATTACTATGCTAAATAGCTAAAATCTCAAATATTTTAATAGAATAAAAGGAACAATATCTTTAACTTTGATTCACAAATTATTCTGGGGGCCAGACAAACTATAAAGTCCAACATAAATTGGCCCTGTAACATGTTAATTTACGAACATCACAATAATCTAACTTTAAGACACCATGATAATGGATAAATGGAAGAAAGATTCATGAGGAATTTTGTGAACATTAGAGGCTCCTCATAATAAACAAAGCCACCGCTGCCTCCTGACCAGCACATATTCCTCCTCCGTAGCTCCACCAATTCCAACAGACAGCCCCCACGACTCAAGTTAAAGATACAGCCCTATGATGTATAATTTAGAACTTCGTTTTGGAATTTGAGCTGACTTGATAAAAATCTTATCAACTTCATAAATATATGATCCGGGGGCGGACGCAGAAGTTTAAAGTTAAGGGGACACAATCGAACTTGCAAAAAAAAAAAAAAAAAAAATTGAGAGAAATTTTACAATAGAAAATTTACGTCCAAAAAATCATATCCCATATAATTTTGCATCCGAAAATTAACATGAGATATGACTTTTTCCAATGTAAAATTTTGAAATTTTTTGATGTCATATTCCATATAAATTTTCCTAATAAAATGATGAAAATTATATTGAGAAATTTGTATCGCAAAAATAATAAATGTTAATGAAATAATTGAACTTTTTTTTTTTTTTAAAAAAGCGAGTTAGTCGTCTTTCTTTAAGACTCACATTTAACTTATTTTTAACTATTTTCGATGTCTGTTTGGACTATTTGATATGCCCATAATGTAATTCTCGAAATAAGTTTTGAGATGACATAAGCAATTTGTAGATTCGATTAGCGTACGATCGTCGGAGAATTTTTAAAATTAGCATGTTATCGAAATTCAAATTTATTGTGATTTTACATCTATTTGGT